AGGATGCACCTGCAAAGATCGAAGACCCTGATGCACTGAAGCCTGAGGGCTGGTTGGATGATGAGTCGGAGTTTGTCCCTGACCCCAATGCAGAGAAACCAGAAGATTGGTAAACAAACTCTTTCACCGTGGTCTTACAGTCATGCTAACTGGAATGAGGAATGGTTCAGGGTGACAGCTTGTCGCTGTGTTTCCTTAGGGACGAGGAGATGGATGGAGAATGGGAGGCGCCGCAGATCCCTAACCCAGCCTGTGAGACGGCTCCTGGCTGCGGGGTGTGGAAGCGTCCCATGATCAACAATCCTCAGTACAAGGGCAAGTGGAAAGCCCCCCTGGTGGACAATCCTAACTATCAGGTAACTATTGTTCTGTGGTTTTATACACATAACTTAAATTTATGTCACAGTGTCCACCAAGTTGCCCCTGCACGGCTGGTACTTTACGATTTTCATAGTTTTTTAAAATTAATTTATTATTTTTTATCTCTAGACAAAAGCTAAAACCGTGATGTTTGCTAATGTGTATTATTAGTACATCTTATCAGCAAAACAGCATTGGCCAGTATATTTGTATTTGTGGGTCCTTCTGACTGTATCCTCCATGCTTTGTGTTGTCTCCTAAGGGAGTGTGGAAGCCTCGTAAGATCCTTAACCCGGACTATTTTGAGGACCTGCAGCCGTTCAGGATGACACCATTCAAGGCTCTGGGACTGGAGCTGTGGTCCATGACCTCAGATATCTACTTTGACAACTTTATTATCACCTCTCACAAGGAGGTTGCTGACCGCTGGGCGTCTGACAGTTGGGGGCTGAAGAAACTGGTGGCCAGTGCTAACGAGGTCAGGAGCACGTGTGCGGGGTTGCTGTGTGCGTGTGACGTACCACAGAGCTGTCACGTTTCTGTGCAGAAGTTCTCACGGTTTACTCTTTGTCTCTCCCTCCATCTCAACAGCCAGGGATTTTTGCTCAGCTGATGATGGCAGCAGAGGAGCGGCCGTGGCTCTGGGTGATCTACATACTGACAGTAGGCCTGCCTGTGGGACTGCTCGTGCTCTTCTGCTGGCCAAAGGTACTAAGACCCTGCTAAACATTAATTTAGACTTCAGATCATAGGCGCAGCTTCCTGACTTTTGCTGTGATGTCTCGTATTTGCATCCCAGAAATCGGATGATGACTACGTGTACAAAAAGGTGGATCCGCCCAAGGCTGATGTGGAAGAGGAGGAGGAGGAAGAGGAGGAAGACAAAGGAGCTGAAGCTACAGAAGCAGCACCAGCTGCAGGTGACACACATTCACCTACATTTATACTGCACTGTTCTGGATCATATTTTCTCCCCTTACTGTCCTCTTTGTTTTTTTTCCCTAATGCAACAGAAGAAGCCGAGGAGGATGCAGAAGCAGGAGGGGACAATGTAGAGGGTGACGATGAAGAAGAGGAGGAGGAGGAAGAAGAGGAGGAGGAGGAGGAAGGAGAAGAGGAAAGCAAAGCTCCAGGGAGAACATTAGAAGATGAGGTTGGTGTCATCTGTTCAACAGGGGGAAATGATAAAAAAATTAACAGCTGTGCAGTCAGGGAACTTCTCAAGTCTTTGACATATTTTCTTTCTATTTACCACCAGAAGAGGATAAAATGAAACTATCAAGATGTGACTTAAGTTTAGCTTTAATTTAAGGGGTTGAACAGAAACAGTTGCTTAAATTGTGGAGGTATTACAGCCATTAATGCAGTGACTGTTTTGATTTGTCTCACTGTGCTGCTAAAAGCCCAAACTCACTCTCTGTTTACAAGATGACTGAAATGAGATCAAAATATGTTTTTAGAGAAAGTAGATCCAACAGATTTTCCGTAGCTGAACTGGTGGAAGCTTGCCTCTGGATCACTCAGGGTCTCTCAGCCTGTCTCCACGTTTGTTATTGGCACACTCGAGTCTGCTGCTGTCTGGGGCTCTCTTTGCCCTTATAGATATCCTGCAGTAGAGGTGGGCCGGTAGTCCAAAGCATCCCTTAATGAGGGGCTAATGTCCTCGCTCAGAGCGGTGCAAGCAGCAGTAACCCTAAGGGGGCAAAATATGAAAATCCAAACAGCCTCAAACTCCAAACTTCACTTCAGCTGACAGCGATACATCTGACAGGTTTTTTATTTTTTAGCTACACAAAGAACAGAGATTTTGATACAGTACACATCACCTGTTTCTTCACCTTTTAACCAAATAAAACTCGACATTGCTGCAGAATTGTAACACAGCCACTAGAATAAAACTTTAATCTTACAGGTCACTTGGGAACTGTCGTTTGCGTTTGCAAGACGGGCTTTATGGTCAAAACTGCCCAATAACTCTCAACCTGACATGTCCCCAACACCTCATAAAGCTTTTAACATTTTAATAACGTGTCAGCTGCACGAGTGCTGTGGTACAGCTCCAGCATCAAAGCTGACGCTTCGCTTTCTGTCTCGCAGATGAAGGATGAAGGAGACGTTGCCGAAGAGAGCCACAAACAAGCAGTGAGAAAGAGGAGGGTACGGAAAGACTGAGGAGGCAAACGTCATGCCCGCTGTCTCCTTTCTGCCCCAACGGGGAAGAGGTGGAAGGGTCGTCTCTGCCGCCGCCGCTGCTCCCTCCTCCCTGAGCGGAGCAGCATGCATTTCCTTTAACTGGTAGCCTGCTCTCACCCCACCGGCTGCCCCATCCACTCCTCCTCCTCATCCACCCACCCCCACCACATCCTGTACCATCCCCTCGTCTTGTTTCTCCCTCTTCCCATCTACTCAGATAAGCTCCCCAGAGAGTCTGTGCATTTAGCTGTTTACCCTCCTCCTCCTCCTCCATCCACTTTTCTTCATCCTTCTCTCCTTCTATAAGCCATCGCTGTCGAAACGCCTGTCAGCCCTAAAATGAAAAAGGCCCCGCCTCTCCTCCACCACAGTTCCTGCTCGCCGTGTTTCTTCTGCCATCATATCCTCTCCTCTCGGAGCAGCAGAGAGCGCCTGTGCGTTGTTCGTCCCATTTTTACCGCATATCGTAGGGGCTACTTCTCTCAAGTTAGACTCCATTCTCTCAGTGTCCTTTTTCTTTTTTTAAGAACGTGTTCAAGGACACCGTTTGGCAGATTTTCTAAATGTTCGGGTTTCAAGAGCAGGAGAGGATGCCGGGCTGTGAGGAAGGCTGTGTGAGATGTTACTACAGCTTCAGGACAGACAAATTCGTCTCAGCTTAGGGTTAAAGATTACCTCTTCTAAAAAATAAAAAAAATGATATGTTTAGATTTCAGCTAGTTTGTAATGAGCATTAGTTCCTTTCATGTGTGTTTTATACTAAGTTATAGCATTTAAGAACTGAGGATTAGCACTGGTTACCATATTTATTGTTTTTGGTTGTAATTTCTTTTGCAGTACAGATAAATTTAATATTGCAGTGTTTTAAATGACTCGAGGCAGATTTCCTGAAACTAAAAGCCTCTGACGTGCTTACTTTGAGCCAAGGTCTGAAATCAAAGTGAAACTTCAGCGCTTTGAGCAAAAATAAGTACAGTTCAAGTCTCGGCCATCAGTTGGAAGACAGAACAAAAAGCCGTGAGGACGTGTCTCATTCAGCAGTGCTTTCCCAGAATCTATCCCGGCTAGCCGGAGGTCAGATCTAGTTTGCAGCCTGGGGAAGACGTTGACGCTCGTTTGTTTTCTATTACTGTCTCAAGCTTTTTGTAGTTCACCTTCTCGCCACACACTGGCAGATATCCCTGTTTACATTTGTTTGCAAATTGTACATTGCTCTTGAAAATAAACTTATTTAATAAGAAAACTTATTCTGGGATTTATTCAGACCGGACAAAGATGCACACACCCTCTGTAAACACTTTTATGATGACTTTATGGACTTCAACAGTTTAGAAATGAATGGTCCCCATTAAAGTCAAAAATAATGATAAAGCAGGGTATGCTTTAGAGGAGGCCTCACTCATCATCTCTGGTTTAAAGCTGTCAATGAATATTAGGAATTTGATTATACAATTTGCGTAAATAATTGATTATGGAGACAGGAGCACAGAATGCAAGGCTGGATTTTTCAGACGTGCTGTTGGGGTCGATGGAGTGCTGTGTATACAGTGTGTTAAAGTCAGAACAGCTGATGGGCGGGGGACTAGGTCAAGCTCTCTAAGCTCAAACAAATGCTGATGGTGGACACACTCATTTTGTGGCTTTAATATCCCTGTGGTACTTTTTTTTTTTTTTTTTTTTTTTAAATTTAAATGGCAAACCAAAGAAAAATCATACCCCACCAGTTTTAATCACTGGACAGGTTAGAATCCAGCTGGAGGCCTGTGGAAAATGTGGAGTGCAGAGATTTAGAACTTTTAACTGTATTCTTATAAACTTTATAAATTTCATAAACCTAATAGTTGTTCTTGTCTTTCTGTGAAATAACAAAAACATTGTTTTATAAATGCACAACAGTCGAACGAGTATCAGGGTCACTTCAGGAAAAACAATCATTTTGAGAATAAAGTTGAGATTAAAGCCTTCTATAAAATGCCTGTGTAGATGAGTCAGTGAAATTTTACTTCAGAATCTGTTTTAATTACAAGGAAACGATTTCTCTTTTAGAACGCGAACGCAATGCGGCGATAAGGACGTCGAAGAGATGGTGCAGAAAGCTGCATCTGCTCAGACGGGAAAGAGAAAACACAAACTTGGAGTCCCGTCAGTCTGAGCCATGAACTACCTGGGCAATAAACTTTTTCTGTAATTTTATAGATTTATCATATTAAAAAAAAAAACACCGAGACATAATGCTGAAGTTGTTCCTTTTTCTTATATTAAGACGTCTCAGGGGTTAAATCTTTAGTTAAGTGTGTGTAGCTCATGATGTCAAATGATTTTTACATCCCTGCTCTACAGTCTGAGAAACACAGCACCAACCAATGGGGGGGGTGCCACAGTGGGTATGTCCAGCTTTCATTTACAGACTTCAGGTTGTACAGGTGACCAAAATAACCAGCGAGAGGCTCGATCTCAGGATTTTATTAAAACAGAATTTAAAGGCAAAGGTGCAGAACGTCTACATACAGGATGACACGAGGACGTGTGCAGGCAGGGCACAGGCAGCATGCTGGAAACAAATTAAAATCCTACTGTACAACTGTACAAAATAACATCAATAAATTACACCATGTACAGCACTCACTGCCTCCCTTCGCCTTCCTAATTCCTTACTTTACAAAAAGCACATTACTGTTTAGGATAATTGGGAAAATTCATTTTAAAAGCTAATTAAATCCTCGCTCAAAGTAAATTTCACCTGGCCCCTCCCCTCCACGTCCCTTTTTATCTGAAGAAGACGACAATGTGCACACCCTCCCCCCTCCGAGTACATCAACTCATCTTACGATCAAACCCATCTTGCAGGCCTGGATTAATGGATCGATAACACTCCAGGCCTCTTTGCAGCTTTTTGCTCCTGCAGTTAAAGGGGAAGGCAGGGAACAGATGCAACTTTTAGAGTATTTATCCCGTGGCTTTTGGAATTATTTGGACCAAACACGCACTATTAAGTTCACAGGTCTGCAAAAACACAGAAAATCCGACTTGAGTGATGATAATAAAGACAAAATCTGGTACAGAGTGCAAGTTTACAAGACTTTTAGTATCTGTGCTTTTATTTATATTGCTAACAAGCTTTCAAAGGTATCTGCACATCCTGGATCCACCTACTCTTGATTTAAAAAAGTTCTTGGTAACTTTATACAGTCTGGTTTTCAGGGATTATTGATTTATTGACATCTCAGTAGATATGCTAATCGGCCAAACAAACAAACAAAAAAACATACATAAACAAATATCACTCAAACATGCCAAATACACTCTGCATAATACTGTTCAGCTTGCCAGCTTTTAAGTGGAGGAACACAGTCGTGCTTTACAGAGACAAGGTGACATCCAAGACCTGAACAGATCCAGCTGTCGTACAAAATACTTTACCAAAAATAAATAAATTAAACCAGTGCTGATAATGAGGTTCATGGTCAAAGAGGATCTGTAATATCTGTGGTTTGTTTTGGGGTCGCCTTTAAACAGAACACGTCAAAGGCGGGACATTCGCAGGAAATCAGAACCGGCCTCAAACAGAAACACAGCTTTGTTTTGTTTTGTTTTTACACATATCGGATTGACAGCGAGCATTAGGGACAAACTTGAGGTAAGAAGACCCTCAACCTCTTAATTTACTGTTATTGAGTTAAAGGGGTGACATCTACTTTGTAGTGTTTAGAGGAAGCTGATGAAAAACAGCCCTGGTCCAAATGAAATTATATACACATATTTCTTACATCTATAAGTCCGTTTATGGGGTTATTTGATATTTATTTTGTTAGTTTTGACTCGGGTAAGTGGTTAAAGAAACTCCCATATCTGCTGAGGAAACAAACCCCTCTCCACGTCTCCATGATGGGTTTCCTCTCCCAGCTGCTGGCCCAGGACTCCAGCTTTTTACTGAGGGTAACTCACTTCCTCTTGCTCTTGGTGTCGGTGGTCTGGAAGACGCTCGAGGCCGACATGAGGTTCTCAATGTACTGACCGAGGACCTGGTTCTCAGACTTTAGCTTCAGGTTCTCCTCTTTGACTGCATCGACTCGTGCTGACAGGTCTGGGACAAAAAAGGAAATGGGCAGCTAAAAGGCATACTCTTCCCCATTAGGTCCCCTTTCTTAGCATTTACTGACCCCCTGTACAATTTTTGTCACACAAATTATCACTTAATTATTAGTATTTAGTAGATTCGCATTTATCCATCCATGTTGTAAATGGGCCTGGGTCACTCAGGAAGCTGTCTAAGCAGACATGCCCAGACCCATCTTAAAGCTTTAGATGTAGAAATTTACCAGAATACACACTGAAAGATCAACATGTGACTTATGTAAATTATTTCTGTATTTTTTCCTCTATGAGGATTTTTTTTAAAAACCCAAACCAGTTTTTTACTTATCAAAATCTGCATTTAATGCTTTACAGCTCATGCAGTAAGAAAGAATACGTAAAAGGAGAAAAGGCAGCTGCACAGAGAGAAACGTCCAGCGTGTTAAATCAGAAACATGTGATTTTTGGGGGTTTTATTGAATCTGTTTTAGGGAACAAACGCAGGATGTACATACAAAAAAAGGCCCTCGGATATCAGAGGAAGTTTCCAGATATAAAACCAGAAAATGTGCAGCGTGTTGTATCATTTTAGAGTGTTTCATCCATGAGGTCATTGTTCCCGTCTGGTAAAATTTAATTTGTGTGTTAAGAGGGTTTGTTTTTGTTTTTTTTACCTTCCAGTGTGTGCTGAAGTTCCAAAACCTGATTTATCAACCTCGTCTTCTCCTCAACTTCCACCTGATTCTCCATGTCTCCTGAAATAACAACAATACACGTCAGCATCATTATTATCATATTATTATTAGTATTAGTAGTAGTATTTCTACATAAGCTAACCCTGAGGGAGACTGTTTCACCCACACGTACCATCTATGTCGCAGTTCATGGTGATAAGCTCGTTCTCCTGTTTGGTATACAGGGCTGCAGATCCACCATCCACTGTGAGACAAAGAAAAGCGCCGTTATAGCTGTGAGTTGTAACATGGAGTTTATATTTAAGAGGCACTGTACAATCTCTCTCTCTTTTCATAAACAACAGTAAATATGGTGCCATCAGTGTTTACATTTTCATGTCAGTAGAGTTGGTGTGTCAGGCAGGGTGGCCTACTTACATTACAGAACACGCGGACAAGATTCATATGGGGAGGATATAATGGAAAGTCTATATAAGACAGTGATTTTAATTATTAGCAGAATCACTGAACATTACATTTTAGGTTGATTATTATATGCTCTACAGATGACACACTTCCAGCTGTAATGATTCCCCTTTTTGTTTACTCTCAGTCTTACTGCTGGGCAATATGTCCAAAAACTTGAATTTCATATCAGTGGATATCAGTGATCATTACAATATAAGACAAATTCCCTTCAAGTTTAAAGTCACAGTGCTGAAAAATATTGAAACTGCTTCTGGGTAGTTTTCTATATTGTCATAAATATCATTATCATAAATTTTCTTGATTTACTGTGACATAACTTTGAAGCTCTACTGCTCAGCTCCCTGGCACTTTGTTAGTTCATGTCTCCTGCCAACACGAGCTGAGGTATGAACCAGACCGAGACCTGTTCCATCCTGCAGTGTAAAGCCAGGTTTATTCCAATCCTAAAGCACTGAAACTGGGTTACCACAGTAGATCATCTGTCTCCATCTCTCCCTATCCTTTTGTTTTTGGCCAGTAGTAGCAGAGAATCCACCAGCACCCTGTTGTCCAACAATACGGGAAGCTGCGTTTGTTGATTTGGCCAAGATTTTACGCGGGATGTCCTTCCTGTCACAATCCTCCCCATTTATCCAGGCTTGAGACCAACACTAGGAGCACTGGCTTGTGACCGGGTTGCACTCTTGTCAAGTTGCCTTTGTCTTAATAAACCTATTAATTTACTTATTACATAATTATAAAGAGCTCACTCATTTACTGATAGTCTGCAGAGATTAAGTGCCTTAACTGTTACAGTAATTCATGACTAATTCTAGACCAAACAGTGACACAAAAAGGATTTTTCTGAATAAGGATGACAGCATTTTTAACCTTCCTACACACTGAGTATGTACTCAGCTCATCCCTAAAATTATAATGAGTGCACCAGCAGCTGAAATAACAGTTACAGTTATTTTAATGCGGAGAATGCTTTATAAAGACTATCATAAGATATTTATTACTATTATTCTACTGTTATTATAAACTATAGAGAATTTGGGAAATTTTGATTCAAATTAAATGCACTGTATCAGTGATTTAACTGATCAACAAAGTAACTTTGATCGTTTGTGTGAATAGTGTAATTTTGTTTGGCTTGTTTGGATTTGGTAACCGTTACCGTGTCTGAGTGAGTGATGATAGCATGATGGGAGCACACACCGCACCCAGGCTGAGAGTGCTGTGGTCATACTGCATCAATAAAACGCGTGTTAGGAGCCAAATGCTGCTTTGGATAAAGGCGCTCATTAGTTCGCCGGTCTGCCGTCCAATAATCGAATCGATGCTGACACTGAAGCAACGATTAAGCAGCAATGAGCGCCAAAACATAGCATTTAGCTAAAAAACACATACAGATACACAAAGCTCCACCTCCTAGCACATCACGATTCCTACTCGAAGCCACGGCCGAAACATCGGACAAGGTGCTGGAGGCAGTTTTCCCCGACAACACAAGCCAAAACAGCACAAATGTGTCCGATAATGGGCGTAGATAGATTAGCTCCATAAGCTAACTAGCTCAGTGGCCAACCAAGCCAACGATTCTGAAACTTAATTTACTTTCAACACCAAAAACGTTTAAACGCGTCATAAGAAGAAACCAAACAAAACCACCTGGTCTGTCTGATATTTAAATTTTCGCTGACAAATAAAATTTACACCGTGGCACCGAGCGAAGAGCAGCTAACTGCTACAAGCAAATTGTTGGCTAGTTTTAAGTTCAGACAGAAATACGTCCCGAATTTTTATACTTCGAATTTAGGAACACAGCAGATGTAGGAGTATGAACTCACCTAAAGCAACAAAAAAAGTCTTCTCCGATTAGCGGAGTTACCCTTGCAAACAGACACACAGCTGTGATGATGATGACGAGGAGGAGGAGGATGACGATGACGGCTACATCGCTGTGTGTTACCACACCAACCGACAGGGGGAGCAACATACCACATGCATTACGCACCATCGGAGACTTTCTCTAAACTTCCGGTTTCGTGATGTAACAGAAATGTTGGATTTCGTGGGTTTTTATCATATTTTCATTTTTATTAAATATGTTGGAATTAGTTCTATTTTAGACTCGCAAAATACCTTTATGTGGGTTTGCCACAAGGCTACTAATCCACTTTACGGCACCTGCCATTTTGATTTCAGGCATGAAGCCAGCAGCAGCTGAGACTGTGCCCTTAACCAACCCAATCAGCATGCAGTCTAAGTATAATAAAATAAATTAATGAATAAAAAAGAAGACTCGCCCAACCAAAGTGTGGGGTTGTATATGTAGAGCCAGATGTAATATATTTTAGCCGTTTAGCTCTATTCAATAAGTGTTATGTCACGTGAGTCCCCTGAATTATACCCTGTTTCTTAACAATGAGATATGTCAGCTCTGAACACACACACACAAACACACACAGCTTTCCTAACAGATGCTCGTGCTTTTCCGTCTGGTAGAAACCCCAGCGCACACACGCGCACACACACACACACACACACACACACACACACACACACACACACACACACACACACACACATCTATGCACATCTATAGTTTTCTATGTGAATGCATGAATGAAGTGTTATCTGACCTGTGTGAGCATTATTACATGCCTGCATGTCTGTCTGTCTGTGTGTGGCACCCCTGTGGCCTCAGCTCCATATGCTGCTGCTTGTTAGCCAAACCCAAACCCTGTGGGGGCACTGCTGCCTCAGCCAACAGTTGTCTGAGGCCAGTTTACCCTGTATCCATCCTCCTGTGCGTTCCTTTCTGCTCTGTGGAGTGTGTGTGGCTTCCAAGGTCTTTATGAGTAGCATTCTACGATTATTAGGTAATAGGAAACTGGGTCTTTAGAGGGGATTTGTAAGAGGAAACACAACACAACTAAGGTTTCCAGTTTGCATAATTGAGGGTGTATCTGCTTTCACTGGCAAGTGGGTAAAGACCACACAGACCACAGATTAAATTTAGGAAACCCTGAGATTCTTTGTGTGTCAGAACTGAATGTGAAAAGCAAGGGATGGATCTCACTGTGAAATTGCACACTCAGTGGCTAATGGCTTGTGATTACAAAATTTTCCATAACCAGAAGCTACAGACATCTTATATATTGTCTGTGATTTGACACAGGCAGCTGAGCAGCATCTAACTGGCTAAACTGTGTAACTGAACTGTAAGACAGCTGCTGATGTTGGTACCTTAATAGTAACACATATATTAACAAGACAATAACTGTTCAAATTAATTTAAAGTTTAATTAGTGCATCAACTTCCACAATAACTGTTCCGGGCATTTCAAAGTCCGGGCTTCATAGCAGGAATTCACAAACCTGTTGATGATTCTGAAGGTGACTGCAGCCATCTTTATTTACAGTCTGTGGCGTCTACTCTTTTCTCTTTGCTTACATGCTGTTCTCGAGCTACTTACTTCAACTCTAAATAAAATATTATAGTTTGAGATTCATGTGTACATAGTGAAGATTAGTAACAATCGGAGAGTGTGAAATCCGAGAAGTAAAAAGGAGCCACACCCCAGCCAGTAATGCCACACACCCATATAAACACTGTGGTATTGTTTCTACCTTATAGCCCTTTGTGCAGTCACATGCTTGTAACATTAAAAACAACGGTCTCTGACCGTTTGCTCCAGGTAAAATAAATAAATAAATAAATAAATAAATAAATAACAATAATAATCAGAACATAACCTCACCTGTAACCCAAAGAGCGCATGCTTTTGAACAATAAGCTGTTTTTTAAAGCAACTTTTTAGTTTTAAAACATAGAGCTGCACACTGGAATCAGTTTAATAGAGGGGGGTTAGCTCCTGTCTTAGTCTTGAGGCGACTATCTGTGTAAAACTGTGACTGACAGACCGACGTTTACAATCTGGTCGACTGGCTGCAGGCTAAAAGCTGTTTGTGCAAATAGAAATAAAGGACAGGTTAGGGCTAAATCTGAAGAAGTGGATTACCTGTATCGTCTGCCAGAGAGATGTTAGTGAACGTCCCATCATCCTCGTCCACTGTGGCCTCCATGGCCTGAGTTTGCTTTTCGTCCTCCACTTTTATTCCTTTCTTTCTTTGATTATCTCACAGAGTCGTGAATGTGTGTTGATCTTTCCGGGTTTTGTTAGTCTCCGTTTCTTCTTTCTGTTTGTCTGTTCTCCCCCTCTGGCTCTGCCTTCTCTCACACACACCTGCTGCCTTGAATTGCTTGCCACGGTTACCTGCTCTACCTGCCTGGCAGCTCCGGTTACGTGGCTGTCGTGGGAATGGGTCACCATGGCGACCATTTGACCAAAACACGAGACAGACTGCTCAAGCAATAAAGCTATCGGGGGTCAAAGTTTAAGCTCCTGTGAAATGGAGTAATGGCGAAGAGGCACATTTAAAGTATCTTCAAATTAGGATCGTGAGCCATGTGAGCACACTGCAGTCCCCAGCTCGGTGACTCGGGACAGTATGCTCCTCAGTTTTTATTTATTCATTCATTTATTTATTTACATGAGGTTTGAATTTGAAGGCTTCAGCTGACTTAAAATGACCGGAGAAATCTTTAACGACAAAGAGCAGTTTCCTCAAATCTGCGGTGCATCCTGCACTCTGGTGGCTGAAGCTTTGCACTGCAGCTCACTATCCACTGTCTGTGGACTAGAACAGGGGGGTCAAACTCATTGTAGTTCTTAGGAGACTTCCTGCGGGCCAGAGCCTGGATGAATTATCCTGTAGGCATTCAAGGCATGTTCCCAGGGGTCCATGTACAGTTAGAGGCCCATCCAGGAAACCGTGAAAAATAACTTGTCTTCTCTTAAATGTTAATCTTAAAACTATATCTTATCAAAACATAAACAAATATGTTCTTGAAATGACAAAAGCGATATAACTGATAGCCTGTATTTTACCTGGCTCTTTCTCCCCAACACTGCTGAGGCTAGTAGTTTCTCAAAGTCCTCCAGCTAGTAGAAAGAGTACGTCTGAAATGAATGAATCAGAGAAACAAGAACGTCGATCTTTTATTAAAATGGCTATTTTTACTTCAGTTTAACATTCTAACATCTCTGCTCTGAGTAGCCCCTTGAAAACGTATTACCATATAACACTAAAGGGATGTTTTATAAAAACAAATGTTTTAAAAATTATCTGATACCCCTACAAAATATTGTCTCTTATTTAAACTTTTACATGGATGATATTTGAAATAATAAAGATCAAAATGCTTTCTTAAAGATGTCATTCGGATGGATAGCTGACGTTTGCAAATGTTGTAGGAATGCTCGCTGTTAGCTGGGTTATTTGGGTAACAGATTAAAAAGGGTTTGTCTTATGAAAGATTCCTACAGTGGTGTATGTCCTGAAAACATTTTTATTTTTTATCTCAATAATGATAAAGCCTGCTGTGTGGCACAGACCAGCCAAGACATTTGCAGTTCATTCTTAATGGCCAAGGTTCTAATATTTGATTCATCTGTTAGGAACCTTTAAACAGCCGGTTCCTGTGTTTGTGTTTTGCCCTTATACAACCAAGCTTGGTTGTGTGATCACTTCACCCTCTGCTTTGGCAGCGGCCAATGCTCTAATGGTGAGGCTTTACAATGCAGTCCCCAGAAATAATGTTTAATGTCACATCGGTGTCTTTTGTGTGGAATTTATGGTGCAGACACAAGGAACACCATTAATGCAGATACCCACTGCAGCTGCATTAATCCAGTATGAACAATGGTCAGAAACCTAAGGCTCCAGAGCTGCATGTAGCCTCCATCTCTGCTGGTTCCCTGTGGCTTTGAGAAAGAAAAAAACCCCCACATGAATATGAATACTTTTTTTAACATTCCAGTTTTTATTTATGGTTTCTATAAGTGATTCTTTATGTTCTACAGTTGTATAAATGTGTATCATATGCACCAAATAAAAATAATAGTATGTGAACCAGAGCCAACATCTTTCACCTGGTGCCTTATTAAAGTGGCTGGCATAAATGAATGCACACAAATGTCTAGTCCTGAGCTTTAGACTCCAAATCCCCCCTAAAAATGACAGGAAAACTGAGAATGCAACAGGACCTGGGCACATTTATTTGCCTTTTACTGTTGTGATGGCTGAAGTTACAGCCACTCATATTGGGTAACATCTATCAAACATCACAGCGCTACAACAGACTTATACATAACACTACACATAGTTGTTTTTCCTTTAAATATAGGATTTAATTTACAGGGTAAAAAAGAATTGGTTTTGGTGTAGTGTATTCTAAAATAAGTGTGCACATTTTAGTTTATAGTGTTATGTGTATGATTTAGTCTCCCAGAGTCTGTTGCTCCCAGCCCCTTGAGCTAAGAGGTGGAAAAGGGGTGGAGCAAGCCTATATGGAGACCTGCAAATTGGGTCATACCACAACTCTGGATCATAGGGGGGGGGGATGGAATTTGTTATGTTGGTTTTAGTGAGTTGTACCCTTTTTGTGTCCTTGTGGGCTGATCAGCTACTATTTAAGTTTTCCCTTTGTCTCATTTCGGTAGGTCCGATTGTTTGAGTTACTAGTATTGGGGCACGCTGGTTTTTGAGTTATGTTCTGTTACCTTGCCCTTATTTATGATTTAGATTTTTGTATAATTTAACCAAGTTTTTTTAACAGGGTAAATAAATAAGGTAACAAACCTTTTTCAGACTTTAACCTGTGCCTGACTTTCCTCAGTCCATCACTACTGATACACTTGATCTGCAGCTGGACTTTAATCAAACTCATATTGAAATTGTCAAGAGCTGTTAAGCTGCTATGTGTTTTAAATATTACCAGACTGGTGTATTTTAAATTTGATTCATATACACAAACACAGCTAGGACCTGCACAGCCTTATAGATACACAGAGATGCTAAACATTCTGATATGAGTATGAATATGTTCTTTTTCTTTTCGTTTGTTTGTTTGCTTCAAATGCAAAGTTATGGAGTCAAAGTTGAAAGTTAAAACTTCCATATTTTAGGCTTTTATTTAATCGAGTCTGTTTTTGTTTCTAAAAATGTTTTCTGTGTGAATGTTCAGTTTGCACTAAAAAGGACGTTTTTAAAAAAGAACAACAAAAGCGAAACACAACATCAAGGACCTGAAGACCTAAAACTTTCTGAAGTTTGCAATTAGCATTTTGAATAGGAATCACTGATTAACCTGACATTTACCTCTTCGAACTGTGGTAAGAGGCTGGAGCCCACATTAAATGTAATTACTGGGGTCAGAGCACCATCTTGTGGTCAGATCACTCACAGTGCAGCTAAAACGATATTATACATCAGGTGTGCCCAACAGGAAGCCAGGATCTACTCCGGCTCACTGGATGGATTTATAAATGTGAAAAGTGAGGTCATTAATTGTTCCAATTTTCATTGTAATGCTGGTGTGATAATAGCATCTTAAATGTGGAAAGCATTTTTCTCAGTGAGTTGTCTGATTAATAAAGACTGAAATGCTGAGTTTGATTACCAAAACTCAACATGTGAAGCTCCTGTCCCTTTTTGGTGATCTGTAAATTGTGGTGTGCTCTAGTAAACTCAATGCATGTGGAAAAACTAAGAAATATTCTTTACTTTTATTTTTCTAATCTTTCTGTTTGTCTGATGTGATGAGAAACACAGTAGCATGTTGAAATCTGGTGCTAACGAAGGGATTTGAACAGTTAAGCTCAAACAGATGATAATCTGTCTTCTTGACCAACTGAGGGCCGTGGGGTCCTGGAGCCTATTGCAGGATTAACACAGATGTGACAAATGTGTCCCATTTAGACCTCGGGACTCCCGGGCCGTACTAGGCACAGATGTTCTTGTATACTGTGCCGGCCACTTCGTTATGGCACTCGATGTTTGCCCTGCTTGCTGTTGGATTGTCTCAGGGTCATCTTTACACGTTTTGTCTGGTGTGGATCCAGCCTCTACAGATCTTGTGCTGCGAACTTGTTCCTGTGCTGCCATGATTAGTTCCTCTGTGCTGTCTTTCAGTCCACCAGTGTCCGGATTTCTGGATATCAGCTACTTCTTCTATCTGCCGATGGTGCATGCCATGTAGGGGCCTGTCCTTCCATGATGGTTCCTCTCCTTGCTCCTCTTCGTTCTCAGATGTCTGTTGCTTGAGGAATTTACTGACCACACTATCAGTCTTCCTCACTATTGACTCACCATTTCTTGACCACCTTCATTGCACTTATATATAACATATATATTTAGATAGATAATAGAAAATGTTAGTATTATTAAGTAGAAATAAAACAGTGCGTAGCTTTAGAAAAAAATCAGCCATCCCTGGACCTTGACAGTTGTGTTAAAGGGAAACCTGGAGAGAGGAGCCAAATGCAGGATGATGAAACAGCAAAATGAACAGAAAGCAAAGTTTTTTCATGGTTGAGGAAAGAACCAAAAACTTCACAAAGTCAAGGACTTACACACAAAAGGAATCCACAGAAGAAGCACAAACGCATAAAACGCATGTTCAGTGCAGGTGAAAGGAAGGAAAAAACAAAAGCATGAAGTAAAACCAAAATAAGACACATGATCGTCCTGATCTTTAAAGTAAAACAGGAAATAATCAAAATACAAAATTACCATTACTGTTAAAGATGTGACAGCACTAAGCAAGAGACAGATTACTGAGAAAGCAGGAGAAACTAGATAACAAATGCAGCAGGGACCTTGACAAACACTGATCAGAGGATAAATGTGGGACAAATGAATGTAAATAAAACTGTGAAGTGCCTGAATCATCCACAGGGGATCATCGCTGCCCTGCAGACTCTGAAATGTTTCACCACTGATCGGGGAAACATTTCAGAGGCAGTGCCAGGTTTGGAGTTGAACTCCTATTCTTGGTGTGCGCAGTTTTTAGTTGCCCCCACAAAGCTGCAAAGAAAGCGACATTTATATGAACATTTTCACAGGAAGGGGAGAGTCGTTAACAGGAAAAAGTTTGGTAATAATCCAAACTTGCCCTTCAGAGTGCTGCCTCATCAGCTCTCTCCGAGGGCTGCTTCTGCTGATTTCAGATCTGTTTTATTATCACTCACAGAGTATAAAGGACGACACTGCCAGCTAAACTTGGCTGGTGACAGTAAAGCTGCTGTTCCTCACAAAACCCTCGATGAATAGTAGAAGGCAGACGCAGCACGACATTTCAAAGTTTACAGGAGGGTGGTAGACGATGTCGAGTGGGATGGTAAGTGGCCGGTGAGGGCTTCTAGCACCTGTAGCACAGCAGGCC